AGCTTATAAACTCATAGTTGTGACACAGTATCGTTCGCAAAGGCCTTTTTTAACATATTAACTGATTCGCTACATAACATTTCACACAAAGCATCTGATCTGTCTGGAATTTATAAGAAAATTTCCAAGAAATATTCGCAAAAGTTCGCCTAAAAATTCTATAGTCCCTTAGGTTAAATTAGATTACTGAGGCAGTCAATCTAAATGACTAACTCACTTATAACATAAATTCTGCTATGTTTTCCAGTACTAATCAGATCTTAATTCTTCTGAATTCCTTTATCTTCTTGTGGAGCATAGGGCCTCAATCACACCTTAATTGACAGTTAATTATGGAACTTATAGTCTCTTCACCTATTACTATATTAGAATATAAATGTTTTTAACTTTTTTCGAGACGTGTATATATGAAATGAATGAATATTATTCTAGTTTTATTGGATATATTATTTTGAAATAAATAGTAAAATTTTATTCTATATGATCATTTTTACTTTTACTCACTATGAAATTATTTTTGTTTTATAAATAAAAATAAATCATAATTTAAAAATAATAATTAAATATTTCAAAAATTTTAAATTCGCTGCACGATAAACTCATAAAAAATACTATTAAATGTCTGAAATAACGGAAATTCATTAAACCAATTACCCAATAATAAAGTTATGGTTATGTAGGTTCAAAAAAAAAAAAAAATGGGTAAAAAATAAAACAATAACTAATACGTCAAAACACCAACAAAAAGCTATGACAATCTGTTTGTAATTCACATAACGAAGAACCTAAATGAACCCAAATACTTGTATTGTAGACATACGATGGCAAATCTATTAACCGGATATGGTCACTTGGGGAATATAAAAATAGTAACATATACATTAATCATTTATGGAATTTGCGAAGGTGTGAAGAGAGGTATAAAATCAGCAAAAATATGTTTACTTTGTATCAATAAACAAATTCGCCACTCACTCAAGCTACTCGTCCATGTATCTGACCTTATCAATTTTGACGCTTTCGATTTCGAAATACGAGTATCTTATTTAAAAAAAAAAGACGCCGTTAAGTTGATTCAATTAGTGTATACTTTGAATAATATTAATTTCAAAAATGATGTACAACATTTTTTTCGTTTTTCAAAATTAAAAGAAAAAAAAACTAAATACCTTTAGTATGAATACACTCGCACACCAACCAAACACCAATCGATTTTCGATTTGTATCTGAAAATCGGCAACGAAATTTTTGAATGAAAAAAAGTGCGTGCGGTCGATAACAAAACTTCGATTGACCACTAATTATGTAATACACAAACATGCCCTATGCATATATATTTCACACAAATCTGGTAAAATATTAAATAAGCTTAAAGGTATTTAATTTATTTATACTCTTTTGCTTAAGTGCATTAAAGTTCATTGGTTGTTTATTTATTTTTTTGCCACACTTCAATTTTTCACATTAAATCCGCTTATTGAATTTCAAAAAAAAAAAAAAAATGCAGTGATTTTTTTTATTAAGTATTAGTTATTAAATATTTGCAATTACTATTACATAATTTATAAGTAATACAAATTTTTATTTTCACTTTCACAAGACATTATAAAGTAGTATTTTAATTTAATTTGGCGTTACAATGATATATAACTTTTTTTATGCAAAAAAAAGTTAGTAAATTATTTACTTATATATATAAAAAGTAATGATTTTTTTTTAATTACAAACTTACTCAATTATATTTAAGTTAACCCTAAATTCAGTACTACAAAAATTAAAGAAACTATTCTTAGTACTTCTTTTTATCTATAGTAAGATGACAATCATATATATATTTTATGTAACAAAAGTTGCAAGATACTTGAATAAAATCTTATAAATACTGCCCTTAATCTTCCAAATATATTGCTTTAATGCTACTTGGATGAAGAGATTTCCCCAGAAATGCGCTTAAACTTTAGTATATATGTCTTTAAGTCCATTATTTTAAAAAATATTATATCCTAAAGTTGAAAGCAAAGTTGCTAGTGAATCAATGAAATTCAAAGGAAGGATGTCAGTTTAAAAAATAAAGTCATACTATTAGCTTCCTCTTATACTTTATACTTATACTTCTTATACTTTAATTCATAAAAATTTCTGATAATGTTTTTTAAATGCATTTTAGTTAACTTTATAATAATATTATAATGCACCCTATTCATAAACGTTTTATAAACCTTCTATAACTTTTTATAATTTGGGCTGTTAATGTTTAAAGCATTTTTTCAAAAAAAAAGTATACCAACAAAAAAATACAAGAAAATAATTCAAAAACATTGGTTAGCTTTCAGAAACCAACACTGGATCATCGGACATCTCCACAAAACTGTTCGTATTCCTAGCTTAAATATGCTAAATGTGGTGTCAAACTACAGAGAAAGTTTATACTCTTTTCAAATTTATTATAACTGCTGTTCTCAATCCGGAAAATCTGGCATATATTAAATAACATATATATATTAAGGAAATAGTAAACAACCTAACTCTAAACAAGATTATTTTTCAACTCTAATACATCATTTATACATTTTTCTTATATATTACACATTTGTAAAAGATACTATTATCAAAATATTCCTCGGTTTCTCTCAGTCCTTGATTAGAGTCTGTAACTCTAAACAAAATTGTTTTTCAACTCTAATACAATCATTACTACATTTTTCTTATATATCTACACCTACACTAAAGAAACTATTGTCAATATGTTCCTCGGTTTCTCTCAGTTCTTGATTAGAGTCTCTAACTCTAAACAAGATTGTTTTTCACCTCTAATACAATCATTACTACATTTTTCTTATATATCTACACCTACACTAAAGAAACTATTGTCAAAATATTCCTCGGTTTCTCTCAGTTCTTGATTAGAGTCAAATGTGTTTCGCAAGAGTCGCTAAAACTTCAATTTGAAGTATGTATCTGGTACTGTGTCAATTCAGTATACTAATAAATTACAAATGATATACATATAACTGAATCATCCTTAAAATTTTTTGGGTCATTCCTTTTTCTTTGGAATGATTTGATCCGTAGGCTTAGATTCACAGTATAAACCTGGTACCATGCTAATTCAGTATACTAATAAATAATGAATGAAATTCATGGAACTGAATAATCCTTATATTTGTTAGGTCATTCCTTTGCCTATTCAAAGTTAAACTCTGGGCAGTTTTCATTTACTAATCAAGATGAGCCAATATTATTACAAAAGATTAAATATTTTTCACGCATTTAGTTTTTATTTTAAAATTTACCATATTTGCAAAATGTATAAATTTTGATTAAAAATAAAAATGACGATTGTGACATCACAATCGCAATCTTATGTAATTTGGGGAAAACCAGTGAGGATAGCTTGATGCGTAATTGATGATGAACCGGTTACCGACACACCTCGCATAAATACTTCAATATCATTAGAGGCTCTCTTTTATCGTAGACAAGATACGAGGAATTTGAAGACACTTAACACTGTGTTTCAGAGTAATTTAAAATCATGAGGGATGTTGATTGGCTTATAAAAAATACTTTTAATTACTCATAATTTTTAAAATAGTTAGCCAATTTTGATGTCAGATAATTCTTCTGTAAAAAAAAATGATCATCAAAAGAAAATGTACACCAATCATTAAAATCTGTTTTAATCTGATTTTATTTAATTCAAAATTGAAGACTTTTTTTTGTTAATTTTAAATTAATAATACACTTATGTTATATATCTTAGTTCTATTCAGTTGCAATTCATGCTTGCCAACAATTGAACAAAATTATTTTGGTTTTGGGGCATAGAAGTGTGCTATAGACAACTTCATTCCATGTATTTAAGATAGATATACATACCATCTGCTAGGGACAGCCCGTCCAATAGAAAATTTAAGCCCTAAGAAGTGCGCTTATACTGCTCTTGTGATAGCACAGAGTTAGCGTTTGCTAACAACAGATAGTTATGGATAGATATACACCTGCAGTCATGGAGACTTCGAGTAATAGAATTTTTTTTATAGTTATATGTAATTTGCTCTTTAAACCCTGTTGCACTCTACTTAGTTAGAGTTATAGAAAATTCGAGTTATGGAAGTTTGACTGTATTTTGGTTCAAGAAACTATTGTGCATTTTGATAATATGGATGATTATGATAAAACAATATTAAAAATAATATAATAGAATTTTTAGAATAATATATAGTAAAACTTAAAAAATTATTTTAAATAAAATTTAATTAATTTGCAGTAATTCCTTCTTTTGATTTTTAATCTGATTTCGCTTTTTTTTTGTTTCTTAAAAATTTAAAAATCTTTTTTTAATTTTATATATTTTATTTAATGTTACGGTTATATTTTTTTATTTTATTTACTTAACAGATTTTTGTTAGTTAATAGCCATTAATATAATAAATATATTTTCAAATATTATTTGTTTCTATATTTATACTATTAATGTTTTTATTTAAATATAAAAATATTATTATCACAAAAAATTTAAAAAAAAATGTTTGGGCCTAAAGCAGTTTTTACACACATTTTTATGCAAAATTATATGTAAAATATCAAAAAAAAAAAAAAACATAAAATATCCAAACAAAAACCTATCTCAATACGAAATATGTTACATGTTGGACTCACATTGATCAGTTTCAAGCCGGTTTAGGCAACTTCAACTCTTACTGGTTTTTTCTTCTTCTTCTTCACACACAGTAACATGCATTAATTAACTTTATTTTTAACAGTTAAATTATGTAATTTTTTTATTAGCGACCTTGATAGGGATTTTTTTCTTGTATTTATTTCTGGGAATTTAAAAGCCGCATTTAAATCATTTTCTTTGGACGGAAACCTAAGACGCTATCGTCTATAAGACGTTTCTGGTGACGCAGAATATTTTTTAAATCGGTGTTATTGTGTCAATGTTAAAAACCTTTGTTTTAAATTTATTTTTGAAATGTATAATTTAATAAAAAAATTAATTTTAATTTGATTGAATTTTATTGTTTATTTTAAGTATTTAAATTAATATAAATGGCAGTTAATATTTTTAATTTGTCTGTGTGTCTACCAAAAAAATGAAGTTCACACATTAAAAACCTAATAGCATCTATTTTGAAATAAATTTTATTACAATAAAATACAATATTCATTCACTGTTATTTCGATTCATTGAATTTTATTTATAAAATAATTTTTTTAATGAACAGTTATAAATATTTTAGTTTTTCAAAAGAAAATATATTAAAATAATACATTAAAGACAGGAAAAATATTACTATTATTATTAATAATAATAGTTTACTGTTTTTTAGGTTTGAATTTAAGTCATTGTTTCAGTAACAATGGTTTCCATTCACAAATTTTCATTTAATAAAACTATCTGATTTATTGCCAATAATTAATTTATCGTCATCCTTCGACTTTACAGTCCATAGCGAACTTTGGCATACACAAAATAATTTGCCTCCATAGTGATATTTCAATCACAGAAACTATTAAATTTCTAATGGCTTCATTGAAAACCTTCATTGAAGTCTTCTCTTTATTTTAGTCATAGGTACTCTCTATTGTATTATGCGTTCTCTTTTTTATAAATGTGCGTTCTTCGACATTTTAAAAAAACATAGTCTCACTACATGCTCAATTGAACTCAATCTCCAAAATTAAACAAAAATGGTATTGAGCTAAATGTGTTTTCTAAGACAATTCCTTTGATATATTATACACTTATCTTATCATCTACAATAAGTGTTCGTGTTTACAAGCGGTAGTATGGTACCGGATATATAACCAACAAGTTTTAATGATACCAAGTCCTACATTTTTTGTGTCACTATCTTTTCATTATAATTTTGTTTCTCTGTTCCCAGTTCGTTATGATGTTCGTGAGTGCGGCTCGCATCTCAAACAAAAAGTGAAAAGAACTGTTTAATGTGTAATTGGTTTTTATTACAGAACGTACAAAAAAAAATTCTGAAAATTGGGTTACTTTATATTGAACTTAACTATTTTTAGTTTATTCAAATAAAGTATTATAAAATTGAAAAGTAGAATAGAAAATGTACGCGCCCTTTTATGCTTCGTAACGACCATAACTGATCAAAACATATTGCATCCTTTAAATGAAAGCCAGAATGTAAACTGTTGAGGATATCCTAACATCAGATGCAGATGGGATCTTTCAACCCGACAATCTTTTCCTCATCCAGATCAAAGTACATAATCACAGAAAGTGTGGTCTTATTTGTTTCGAGGTAGAATCGGCACTCTGTTCTTTTAGAGATATCCATCTTGTTAAAATGATAACATAGGTCATCATAACCCGACAGATAAACCACCAACAACCATAGCTTAGTTCTACTAAGATAGAATGTGCTACCGTAGCAGTACGTACGAACCGGACAGCTACCTGGAGTGTCGCAATAGTAACGATTTCAAAGTATTATAGTATTAAACTAAACATAATTTTTCAGCAGGAGTAAACGTTGTTGAAATCAATTAATTACAAATTAATAAATTATTCAATTAATCACAAAAAGCAATAAGACTCAAAGAAGGAATTCACTGATTAAGTCAACAGACGAAGAAGAAAGAAATGACCTGTAAGAATTCTGTCTGTTTTAAAAAGTTCTACTTCTATATTCAAAATACAATAAATATTATTTTTATTATTCGTCGGAAAGAATGGGTATAAATGATAGGTATAAATTTAATCTGAATATTACTGTTGGAACAAGCACAGCTAAATGCAAAGTGAGTTACAGAATAGCCTTAGGGTTTTGTTCTAACTGTAAACCTGACACTGTAATCTCAAATCTAATCTCAAATCTCATTTAAGAATATATATATATAAAGCGTTTAAAAATATTACTCTATCCGCGAAATAATTACAAAATCATATAACCAAGAAAAATACATGATAAGATCTTCAAAATTAGTTCAGTACATAGATATTTTTACATTCGATTCCATAAAATTTATAATTCCATTATAATGGATTAAATGATTAAAAATAATTACGGAAATACATTTAAAAAAATATATATCAGCTATTTTAAATATATTTATACTAACGTAATTTTAAATTGATTTCAAATACTCCAATATTATCTAAAATTAATCGTAATTTTAAAATTTTTCATTTCAGCTTCCGCGAGGAGCGGTTTGGCAAGCCCTTTTTTTCCTCATCGTTGTACTTCTTACAAATGGTAAGTGCAGTGGTTCATTTTTAATATAATATATAAATGCAGTATTTTTACATTTCTCTATCATAATTGTTATGTCAAAAACTCATAGCTAAATGTAATTAATTTCATACCAGCCTTACCATATAGTAAAATTACTTGAAACTCCTTGCTTCATCCTATTATAATACAAAAAATTTTGATTGCAGAAGTCGATTCCGAGGGAAGAGTTGTTTGTTACTATACAAATTGGAGTGTTTACCGACCAGGCACAGCAAAATTTAATCCACAAAATATAAATCCATATTTGTGCACACATTTGGTTTATGCATTTGGTGGATTCACTAAAGACAATCAAATGAAACCATTCGATAAATATCAGGATATCGAGCAAGGTAAGCACAACATACAGGTCTACATATGTCTGCATAATTGAATAAACGATGAGTTGCATACTTTGAAATGCGCCATATTATTCGATACTAAATAGAAATTTTATAGACTTCCTCTACGTTTACACTCATGCAACTCCTTTTCTTTGCTCTACGTTTTCATATGAACACAGGTGGCTATGCTAAATTCACTGGCCTGAAAACATATAATAAACAACTGAAAACGATGATTGCTATTGGTGGTTGGAATGAGGCATCTTCACGTTTCTCTCCACTCGTTGCTAACCCGGAGCGTAGGCAGAAGTTTATTAAAAACATTTTAAAGTTCTTGCGGCAAAATCATTTTGATGGCATCGATTTGGATTGGGAATATCCAGCACATCGGGAGGGTGGCAAGCCGCGCGACCGAGACAATTATGCACAATTCGTGCAGGAATTGCGTGCTGAATTCGAACGTGAGGCAGAAAAAACCGGACGTCCACGTTTATTGCTGACAATGGCCGTGCCTGCAGGCATTGAATATATCGACAAAGGTTATGACATACCAAAACTAAACAAGTATTTGGATTGGTTTAACGTTTTGACATATGACTTTCATTCATCACATGAACCTTCTGTAAATCATCATGCACCATTATACTCACTTGAAGAGGAATCCGAATACAATTATGATTCAGAGTTGAACATTGTAAGTTAGTAGTCATTTGAGCCATTACAAATTATAAATAAAATATTTGTTTTAGGATTATTCAATAAAATATTATTTGAAAGCGGGTGCAGACCGAGATAAACTAGTACTTGGTATACCAACATATGGTCGCTCATATACCTTAATTAATGAAGAGAGCACAGAGCTTGGAGCACCCTCTGAGGGTCCAGGAGAGCAAGGCGATGCTACCAGAGAAAAAGGTTATTTAGCTTATTATGAGGTTAGTATGAATAGTTGTTTTATATAACATATAATTGTCTGTTGATTTATAATATTTTATTTCATGACAAAACAATTTGTACTTGACTAAAACTTCGTAAACAATATTTTTAGATTTGTCAAAATCTTAAGGAAGATCCTGAATGGACAGTAGTACAGCCTAATCCTACTGCCATGGGTCCTTATGCTTATAGACGTAATCAATGGGTGGGATATGATGACGAAGATATTGTGCGCAAAAAGGCAGAATATGTAGTTGAACAAGGTTTGGGTGGTATTATGTTTTGGGCCATCGATAATGATGACTTCCGTGGGTCATGTACAGGAAAACCATATCCTCTTATTGAAGCAGCAAAGGAAGCAATGGTAGAAGGCTTAGGGTAATTTAATATTTATTCGGTAATAATATATATATAAATAAATTTCTTTGTATTTGATTAGACTTGGAGTGAACGAAGTATCGAAACCCAGCTCTGCTAAAAAGCCTTTACGTTCAAGAAGTCGGGACAATACATCTTCCACACGTAATCGAATTGATGGTACCAGCGATGACAAATTATCAGTGGATCAGCGGAAAACAACTTCTCGTCGTCCTACAAGCGGACCTCGCAAACGTGTGCAATCAAGTACCACCAATGCACCAAGTACAACCATTAAACTTACTGAAGCTGAAGGATCATCGTTATATATTGGTGGACGTACTTCTACACCACCACCACCTACAACACCTGATCCGGGCACTGGTACATTATTATAAATTATCTCACTTATTGTAGGTTTTTAAACCATCGACATTCTTACAGATTTTAAATGTGAAGAAGAAGGTTTCTTCCAACATCCACGCGATTGTAAAAAATACTATTGGTGTTTAGATAGCGGTCCATCAGGCCTAGGTATCGTTGCACATATGTTTACCTGTCCTTCTGGTTTATATTTCAATCCAGCAGCAGACTCATGTGATTTTGCGAGAAATGTTCCCTGTAAAATCAAAAAGTTAGTTGCACTATATTCTCACATAAGATATTATTAATTAACGTTCCATGAATCATTTTAGAGGAACTACAGCATCACCTGTTACTACAACTACAAGCACTAGTACAACTACTCCACGTACTACAACTGCTTCTAATCGTATCACAGCTGCCACTTCACGCACATCACTGTTTAGAACAACTACAACAAGCACAACAGCAGCACCAGAAGAAGAGGAAGAATATGAATATGAGGAAGAAGAAATTCCAACGAAAGACTCAAAAGATAAAAACGCTGAAGAAGATCCTCGCGTTATTAAAGAACTAATAGAACTGATACGTAAAGTTGGTGGAATTGATGAATTAGAAAAGCATTTATTACATAAAGAAGATGGAACAATTTCCTTAAAAGATAACGATACCAATTCTGGCACTCCTACAACACAGTCAAGCATCAGTAAATCACTTTATGATAAAGTACTTAGTCGTCCTAACGCTTATAACTCCTTCCGCAACCGTTTAACTACATCAACACTATTCCGCAATAGCGCACAAATAAAAACAGAAGAAGTCGAGAAAAAGGAAGGCAGCACAAAATTCGAAGAAGATATTTTACAACAAAAATCAAGTTCAAAAGTCGGTAATTCCAAATATTCATCAGTAGTGCGAGGCAACAGCCGTCAAGGTCCACAAAATGAAGGTCTGGAGAATTTACCTGAATTTGATGGTTTTCTTAAAGAAAAGAAAGAATATGTCACAATTAATAGACAACGCGGTAGCTATAAAGCACAGTATAGTAAAGATGAAGATAATGAAGAAGATGAAAATGAAAAAGAAGACCAAGACGAAGGAGTTGAAATAGAAAATATTAGAACTACTAAAAAACCAAGTGCTATTACAACGCCTGCATATGTGAGCATTAGAAGATCTAGACCAACTACGACACTACAACCAGTAATTCAAAACATAAATAATGAGGAAGACAAAGATGAACTTAAAACGGTGGAGGAAGTTACTGAGAAAAAATCGTATACGTCTTTGAACAGATATCGAGGTAGACCAACAACTACAACTGAAAAAATCGAATCAAATGATGAAGTTGAATCGACTACAACAAGGTGAGTTTAGATTAAAATATGATTGAAATGCTCTTTGATAAATTATAGACAGATATTTATATGCAATTACTTTATAATCCTAAATTTATGTTTTTCTTTTACAAACTATTTTTTTTAGGTATAAATATTTTGAACGCACACGGCCAACCAGAATAACAACTACACGTACTACTGGAGAAAAATCTGATGTTGACGATAAAGATGATGACAATGATGACAATGATGAGGAGGAAAACAAGCAAAATGTAACGGTACAAAATAAGGAAGAAAATGATTCCACACAAAATACACAAACAACTACACGTATCTACGCTAGCATAGGTCGAAGACCAATTACGACAACCACATCAGAACCATCAATAACAACAACTACAGAAATACCAATAGCGAAAACAAATTTATTAGAAACTACATATACACCTGAACCAATTTCGACCACTACTACTACTCACTCACCAAATACAATTACTAATATTCCAGATATCATATCCAATTCATTTACTCCCATTTCATCCACTACCAGTACCACTACCACTACCACATCCACTACCACTACCACCACATCAACAACACCAAACAGTGACCCTCTTTTAGAAACTACTTCTATTAGCTCCACTGAAATAAATCCTTACAATATGTCAGACGATACCTTTGCTCTCTCCCTTGATATAAACTCTCTTAAACAAACAGACGCAGATTCTGCTTCGAATTCAATTAAAAATGAAGCAGATGCTGTTGATGGCAATCAAGAAACTTCAACAACAACAACACAGACAACGACTAAAACTTTAACCACAACTGGTACTACGAACATTGACCATCAACAATCAATTGACGAGGTAACAAATCTTAATAAAAATATATCCAAAACACAATATAAATACACCACAAGAACAAGAAATGTAACTTCCTTCACCACTGCAACGAATGACAAGAACACCGATACCAAAATTTCAAATGAAAACACACAACCTAGTCTTATTGATATTCGTAGTAACATTGGTTTAAGTAGTAATAGTAACAAATATGTTGGTGGTAGAAGGCAACAATTAAATAATTTACTTAACCGTAAATCCCAAATCCAAATCCAACAGACAAATGAGACCTCCATAACCAATACTACTTCTGAACCAACTTCTACTAACGTATTCGTGGGTGCAGTATCTAGTCCAAGACCCTTTGGTTTTCCAAGACGTCGTAATCGACCATCTAGTTTCACAACAAAAATTGAAGACTCTAAGCCCGTTAGTGAAAATGACGAAGATGCAGTATTAATCAAATCGAAAATATATGCGCAGAATGCTAATGCAAATACGAATAAGGTGAGTTCTAGCACTGACGAGTTGCAAGTACAAGTCAATAATTTGGAAAGCAACAGAGGGGGTAGCACTACGCGCACGAAAA